GAATACATACTCAGTGAGGGGAAAGGTTTTTGTGTGAGGTATTCACTGTTGGATCCCAGGCACTTAGAACTATGTCTAGCACACTGCAGGTTCTCAATACTTTTACTGTAGACTATACAATCGGGCAGTATATAGGTCTTCTGGGTATGCCAAATTAGATTCTGACTGAGGAGCCTTCATACTTGCTATTCCTCTGCGGAGCATCAGTCCTCAGAGAAGTATGTCTTCCTGCCCACTTCTTCACTCAAACTCCACCTCCTCAGAGAGGCCTTTCCTACTCCCTCATCTAAAATAACCACGCTGCCCAAGCACCCCACACGTTCACTGCTTCTAACCCTGCTTTTGTTTCATGCTTCTTCATGGCACTTACCTACCTGACAACCACATACGTATCTTTTTCATTAAAATGTAAACTTCTTTTTTTTTTTTTTTTTTTTTTGAGATGGAGTTTTGGTCTTGCTGCCCAGGCTGGAGTGCAATGGCACAACCTTGGCTCACCACAGCCTCCACCTCCCGGTCCAGCTGATTCTCCTGCCTCAGCCTCCCAAGTAGCTGAGCTGGGATTACAGGCATTGCACCACCATACCCAGCTAATTCTGTATTTTTAATAGAGATGAGGTTTCTCCATGTTGATCAGGATGTCGAGCTCCCAACTTTAGGTGATCCACCCGCCTAAACCTCCCAAAGTGCTGGATTACACAAGTGGGCCACTGCGCCCAGCCCACAATGTAAGCTTCCTAAGCACAAAAGCATCATCTCCTTTTCAGCACCGTCTTTACAACACCTCCAACACTGCCTAACACACGGCAGGCACACAATAGTTACTGATTAAATGAATGACTACAATGTGTAAGTTGAATTTACCTAGCCTTTCTATGCCATAGGAGGAAATTCTTACACTGAGTGGGAAGCGGAAGTAAATGTCCAACCCCTCGGATTTCTTCTGTCACCACTATTCCATGAAATAATTAAATGGGAAAGGTTAGGACCAGGTAGTGCGTTTGGAATGCCAAAGTAACTGCTGACGGATTATAATTAAATAACATTAATTAAAAGCCATATTTTTTCATTACACAATTTTGCCATCCCATACACAAGTGTGTATAGATCTACTGAACATCCCATATCATTAGAGAAGTAGAAGTTGCTAGCCATTTTTTTTTTTTTTTGAGACGAAGTCTTGCTCTGTCGCCACGCTGGAGTACAGCGGCATGATCTCAGCTAACTGCAACCTCCACCTCCCAGTTCAAGCGATTCTCCTGCCTCAGTCTCCCAAGTAGTTAAGATTACAGCCACGCACCACCGCACCTGGCTAATTTTGTGTATTTTTAATAGAGGTGGGGTTTCACCATGTTGGCCAGGAAGGTCTCCATCTCTTGACCTCCCACCTTGGCCTCCCAAAGTGTTGAGATTACAGGTGTGAGCCACTGCGCCCGGCCTAAGCTTCTTATTTTACAGAATTGGAGTCCACTGAAGCAAACGGATTTGTACACTGACAGAGCTAGAAGTTAGAATCTAGGCCTTCTCTCAATACCATGCTCTTCGCACTATGGCTTTGCCTTGCTCACAGAGTACAAACAATGCAAGAATCTAATGTGACACTAAGAAGCAACCATATTTCAGAAAGCAATGGGCAAAGGAACAACAGGCAATTCACTTAAGAAATACAAATAGCCAAAAGAGAGAAAAGATTGCTCAGCCACACTAACAAGTATTGAAACAATAAGTTATTTTTCAGCTGCCTCAGTGATAAAAAGCTGACAAAAACTCTGTCAGCTGAATGCCTAGAAAAACTGGTATGCTCCTTCTAGAGGGCAACCTGACAATATATACCAAGCATATGCATATCCTTCTAGCCAGAAATTTCACGTGGAGATATTCACTCAAAGAAGATAAATATAAGGCTGCATATCAGCATTGTTTATCATGCAGCATAAATCTGGCTGCATATCATACACAAGTACCTAAATAATCTCACTCAGCACTATTAATAGGCTAAAGGTTTTACTTTGAACAAACTGATAGAGGGAATGGTTTAGCCTTCAGAAATTTTTAATTAATTCATATGGAAATGAAAGTTTGAGAATAAAAGAAAAGCGGGGTAATAGCTAAATGGAGCAAAAAGATCATTAACAATTTTTTGGCCCAGCACGGTGGCTTAGGCCTGTAATCCCAGCACTCTAGGAGGCTGAGATGGGTGGATCACCCAAGGTCAGGAGTTCAAGACCAGCCTGACGAAAACAGAGAAACCACGTCTCTACTAAAACTACAGGCTGGGTGCGGTGGTTCACTCCTGTAATCCCAGCACTTTGGGAGGCCAAGGCAGGCGATCACAAGGTCAAGAGATTGAGACCATGGTGAAACCCTGTCTCTACTAAAAAATACAAAAATTAGCTGGGCATGGGGGTGCACACCTGTAGTCCCAACTACTGGGGAGGCTGAGGCAGGAGAATTGCTTGAACCTGGGTGGCAGAGGTTGCAGTGAGCCAAGATCACACCACTGTACTCCAGCCTGGCGACACAGCGAGACTCTGTCTCAAAAAAAAAAAAAAAATACAAAAATTGGACAGGCATGGTGGTGCATGCTTGTAATCCCAGCTACTTGGGAGGCTGAGGCAGGAGAATCACTTGAACCCGAGAGGTAGAGGTTGCAGTGAGCCGAGATCGTGCCATTGCACTCCAACCTGGGCAACAAGAGTGACACTCCGTCACACAAACACACACACACACAAATTCTCATAGGTAGAGGAAATCAAATTTAATAAAGAGAATAAAAATAGAGTCAGTGAAATGGGAAATACTGAAAATGAAAGAAGGAGGGAGGATGCAATATCCTAGAGCAGTGGTTAGTTATATAGGTGAGTTATCAGGGAGGCTTTTATCATAACAAATCTCCAGATTCCATTCTGAGTTAGAATCTCCAAGAGAACTGAAGCACATGAACACAGAAACCATCCAGGTAATTCCACTATACATCCCTGATTAACAACCACTATTCTATAGCAATGGTTCTCAATCTTGAGCATTCATTCCATTCACCTGAAGAACTTTTGAAAATTCCCAACTAAGCCCCAAGCTAGCCAATGAATCTCTGGGAATGGAGCCTGGGCATCAACATCTTTTTAAAACTTTCTGATAATTCTCATGTGTACAGCCACAGTTGCAAAGCAATGTCCAGCGACTTCCACGGTGTAATTTCCACAACAGCTGGAGTAGCATCATGGGGAACTTGTTAGAAATGAACATTTTTTTCTTTCTTAATATTTCTTTTTATTTTTTGAGACGGAGTTTCGCTCTTGTTACCCAGGCTGGAGTGCAATGGCGCGATCTCGGCTCACCGCAACCTCCGCCTCCCGGGTTCAGACAATTCTCCTGCCTCAGTCTCCTGAGTAGCTGGGATTACAGGCACGCGCCACCATGCCCAGCTGATTTTTTGTATTTTTAGTAGAGACAGGGTTTCACCATGTTGACCAGGATGGTCTCGATCTCTTGACCTTGTGATCCACCGCGCCCGGCCTCTTTCTTAATATTTTTGTACAAACAAGGTCTTCTTTTGTTGTCCAGGCTGGTCTCAAACTCTCGCCCTCAACTGATCCTCCCATCTTGGTCTCCCAAAGTACTGGAATTACAGAGATGAACCACCATGCCCAGCCAGAAATGAAAACTCTTGATCCCCACTCCAGATGTCCTGAGTCAGATATTTTGGGTAAAACCTAGCAATATTTAACAGGCACTTTAATTTTGATCTGCCTTAAAGTTCGATAATCACCTGTCCCAGAATTATTCTTTCATAAAAAGCACGTAAAATGCATATCAAATATACATAACCTAGTCAACTGATTTTCAACAAGGATGCCAAGACAATTCAACAGGGAAAGAATAGGTTTTTTTTCAACAAATGATGCTGAGACAACTGTATAGCAACATGCAAAGAATAAAGCTGAAGCCCTATTTCACATCATATACAAAAATTAACTCAAAATGGATCATGGACCTAAATTTAGGAGCTAACTTTATAAAACTCTTAGGAAAAAACATAAGCACAAATCTTTATGATGTTACAGTAGGCCCTCCTTTCTTAGTTAAGAAAAAAAAGCACAAGCAACAAAACAAAAAACAAATTAAATGAAGAAGATATAGAAATGGACCAGGTACAGTGGCTCATGCCTGTAATCCCAACACTGGGAAGTCAAGGAGGGAGGATCACTTGAAGCTAGGAGTTCAAAGCCAGAGCCTGAACAACACAGTGAGACCCTATCTGTAGCAAAAAAAAAAAGAAAAAAGAAAAAGTAAAAATTAGCCAGGCACGGTGGCATGCACCTGTAGTCCCAGTTACTTGGGAGCCTGAGGTGGGATCCCTTGAGACCAGGTGGTCAAGGCTGCAGTGAGCCATTATTGAGTCACTGCAATCCATCCTGGGTGACACAGAGAACCCCTGTCTCAAAAACATATACATGCACAAATGACTGATAAGCACATGAAAAGATGTCAACATCAGTAGCCATCAGGGAAAATGAAATCAAAACTACAATGATGTATCACTTCATACTCATTAGGATGGTTAGAATCAAGAAAATAAATTAACTGTTGACAGGCATGTGGATTACACAACCCAGAGGGAAAGAAAAAGAGAACACGGGCAGCAGAAGGTACAAGACCAAGACTTGAGCAACTCCGAATTTAACTGACAGATAGAGGAAAATAACTTATAATGGATTCCAAGAAGCAGCCACCGGAGAAGGAAAAAAATCCATGGGCCATGGAAGGCAAAGAAAGAGGGCATGTCAAACAAGTGGACATGATCAATGCTGCTGAAGGAAAATGAAAGATTAAGTGAAATAAATGAAAATATCTCTTTGATTTAGTGCTATGTAAAGAACAGTGTTTCCATAACATGACAGTGGCAAATAGCTAAGTAATTAGGCTGCCTCTCCGAATTTTCTAATATGCAGAAACATGCACACCACTCAAACGTAAAAGGTTTTAAGATAAATTAGTACCTTATTTATCTGCAATTAGTCTAAAGTCCTCTTGAAAGATGAGTCTGGAAAATAGAAGTTGATTAAGAAAAGCAAGCACCCAAGAAGTTCACAAAACTTAAAACTTTACTTAAAAGCAATCAGACTCCATAAAAGACTGCTTTATACAGCAAGATCTACGATGCTCCATACTACTTCTAATTCTTACTGATTACAACAGGTGTGCTGACATCAGCCATGACTGTGAACCAGTATCTGGACTTAGTAATAAATACTATATCCAGCACTACAACACGTCTGCATAGCGCGAGTAACCAACTACTACAGAACAGGAATAAGTCAATAAGGTTAAGTAGACATCCAGATCACGTTCCATCCGAAAGGTAAGTGTCCCGAGATTCAGAAAAAGGTTTTATGAGTAAAGAAGAACGGAAAGTGAAAAAGCAACACACCTGCTTTTCTCAATAACTTTTGCTTAAATTCTTAAAGATAACTGCTCTGGGAAAGCTCTGCAACCGCGAAAGCCTTATAACATCTACAAATTCACTAAGGTATAAAGTGGGAGAACAAATGAAGTTAAATCTGACAATAAAAAACGAGATGCCTAAAGTACGGCTAACAGGCGAGCAGCACCTGAGGCCGAAGACCCAACTCGCTCCTGGAAGCCCCATCTGCCTCCCCATTCCCCCATCCCAGCTGGCAAATTTCCTTTGAACTACGAAACAGACGAGCAAACAGCCCGAGAACGACTGAAACTGGAGAAACAAGGCTTGGCCATAAAAGGAGCTCTGGCCACACCCTGCCCTACAAGCACCCATCCGCCACCCTTACCCAGAAGCTGGGAAGTTAAAACCAGTCCAAAGTGAGAGAATCAAGCCGCCACTCTCCGGAAGCTGCACAGACTATACATGGAGCGCGCCATGACACCTACGGCCCGCCACGTTTATTTACGCATGCGCAGCGACGGTAGCCCGAAGAGGTCAAATTACCTCATTGCGCAAAGTGCTAGTTCTGGTTTAACTTGGTTTGGGAATGTTTACGCTTGAAGTGCCTCTAATTCCAGAAACTAAAGTAACAGCCCCAAGTTCTCGGGTTCCTAGAAACGCTTAATAGCCCGTTTTTCCTGAGCTCTTATCTGTCTGACGCTGTGTTAAGTACTTTGCATCAACATTATTTCACTATTTATTTATTATTACTATTCCCAGTTTACAAAAGAGGACACTGTAAGTGGAAGGACTTGCCCTAAATTACTTGCCTAGTCGTGCTGTCCGCTGGGCTGGATCCGACACCGTCTGATTCCCAAAGAACTTGCTCTTCTCACTGCATTGTACCAGCCTCCTCAATCATTTGTGAAAAGAGGTCTCTTCTTTAATATTAAAAAGCAGGAAGGAAAGGATAAAGGTCAGCTGGGATAGATTTCGCTGACTAGACATCTTTTAGCACCACCCAGGTTTTTTTGGTTTTTTTGTTTTGGAAAGCTTAGATGGCACTTTAGCAGACACCTATTGAGGAAAAAAACTTCGATGGAGTATACTGATTGTCACCCGCTTGCTTTACATATGTTATCCCACTTTATTATTCATTACCCAAGACACTGTATTTGACCATGTGTTTACCAAAAGGATATCTTTACTTTAAAAAGTATAGGCAATAGGAGGCAAAAGGCCATGAACAAGGGGCAGAAATCATGAGTTTCATGCCTGACTCGGGTTTCACAGTGATTTGGGGCAATTACCTTGATTTGCAGATGCCTTTCCTAGTACAGTTTCATCTAATGAAAATGCCACCCATCCACCCAAGAGGCTGATATGGGAGGCTCTCTTGAGCTCAGAAGTTTGAAAACAGCCTGGGGAACATAGTGAGACCCTGTCTCTAAAAAAAAACAAACAAAAGCCACACTTTTCTCTGTGTATCCATATCCATAAAATAATCTAAACTGTGCCCTGGGATCCACTGCTGCCTTTACCCATCTGAATTAAAACTTGTGTATTTATGTTGCCCTACCTTTTTTTTCAGTTACGGACTTCTAGCGTTGCTCCGTGGCAGTCTCATAGTTCATGAGGCTTATCTAAGGCGTGATTATTGCTAATTGAAAACTTTTTCCAATACCCCTCCATGATGACTTGAAATATAGTCAGCATTGGTAATTTTTGACAGTCTCTATGGAGACTGAATTATAAAAAGAAAAAAGAAAAGAAAAAAAGAGATATGGTCTTCTGTTATCCAGACTGGAGTGCAGTGGCATGATCACAGTTCTGCAACCTCTGCCTTCTGGGCTCAAGCAGTTCTCATGCCCCTTAGCCTCCCAAGTAGCTGGCACTACAGGTGTGTACCACCACACCCATCTAATTCCATCTCTTTCACTAGACTGAAAGTAGGCCCTTGGTTATCTTCTTGGTTGTAATTGCACTACCTAGCACATAACCTTGTGCCTATGTTTATAGCTTCTCAATAAACATATGTTGGATGAAGAATGAATGAAAGACTCCATCCCTTTTCCCCCAAGATCTAGTTGAGTTCAGTAAAGGAAATTTTACTGAGTACGCACCCCATGACCACAAGCACTGTGATAGACGCTAGAGCTAAAAAAAAAAAAAAAAAAAAAAAAGACAAAAAAGTACTCCTTATTGCAATTGCAGGCTAGTTTGGGGAAATTCATTTCAGTAGCGAAGAGCAATCACTACGAAAGATAAAGGCACAGGAACACAAAAGTGAAGAGAAATGGATGAAGGCATTCCAGGCTGGAGAGTCAGCCAGAGCAAATGCAAGGAGGCCTAAAACGATGAATTATTCCACAGTGTAAAAGCGGAGAGAGTGAAGCTGGTGATGGAAGAAGTCTGCCAGAGAAGGGGAAGCACAGGGACTAGATCAAGGTGATCCTCGTGTGCTCAAAGACGTTAGACTTAATCCTGAATGTACGCAGTAGGCAGCATGAATGTATCCAAGCAGATTATTCTCTCACGACAATGGTTTTGAGGACCGTATTTCAGACATGAAGAAATAGTAAAAGCCTAAATTGAGTTGCTGGCTGTGAGGAATGGGAAGGAAGGACAGATTCAAACAGAAATTAAGGAGGTAACAGCAAGACTTGGTGATTGATAAGTATGAGAAGAGAGGAAGAAAGCATGTTTCCAAGGTTTGGCTACAGCAACTAAACAAACGGGTGAAACCTCTCTAAGCACCTTTATTCTAAATCATTTGAAGTCACTGACCCTACCTCTAGGAATTTAGCTTACAGAAGTACACATAATGACCTATGTTCCAGAGTCTTTTTTGAAGCATTCCTTATAATAGCAAAAGGCTGGAAACCCTCTCCAGCTCTTCAATAAAGGATTGGTTAAATATATTTATAGGTAACTGTACAGCTTTTGAAAAACAACCAGGTGAGGCCCAGAGCAGTGGCTCATGCACATAATCCCAACACTCTGGGAGGCCAAGGCAGATGGATCCCCTGAGGTCAGGAGTTTGAGACCACCCTGACCAACATGGTGAAACCCCGTCTCTACTAAAAATACAGAATTAGCTGCGTGAGGTGGCTCATGCCTGTAATCCCAGCTACTCGGGAGGCTGAGGCAGGAGAATCGCTTGAACCTGGGAGGTGGAGGTGGGAGTGAGCTGAGATCCATCATTGCACTCCAGCCTGTGAAACTCTGTCTCAAGTATAGATACGTATATATTTATGCTTTGTTTCTTAAATTTAAGCTTCATAAACATACACCACCCTACTTTGTTATTGCTTTTTCAGCCAACAATGTAACAATAAATGCTTTATAAATATTTGGTAGTAAACAAACCAACTGGTGTACACTAAGAACATTAAAAATGCAAGTGAATCTATAAAATAATAATAAAGCTAAGATTTTTTAAACCACTTATAAATGTGTGCCAATAACCACAAACATCCCTGTAAGTAACCCTATAAATGAGGACTATTATTATCTTGTTCTCTTTAACAGAGAAGAAACCTGAAGCTTACACAGTCTGACTTCAGTTGTTTTAACAACTCTATATGAATATTTCAGACGAAAGCAACAATAATGCAAAATTTCAAATAGATAAAAAACAATGGAGAGAAAAAAAGGGATCAAGAAAAAGTGGAATAAAATCTGTTCGCTTTCAGAGTGACTGATTCAATATTTTATGCTGGCCTTCACAGTAAAAATTGAAGAGAAAATATGGAAAACAAAGAAGTTAGACAATTCTTACCCTCTCTCTCAGTGACTAACCAAGAAATCAAGAATAAAATATGAGAATTATAAAAATCTGGGGCCAGGCACAGTGACTCATGCCTGTAATCCTAGCACTTTGGGAGGAGGAGGCTGGTGGATCAGTTGAGCTCAGGAGTTTGATACCAGCCTGGGCAACATGGCAAGACCTTACCTCTACAAAACAATCAAAAAATTAGCTAGACATGGTGGTTCCAGCTGCTTGTGAGGCTGAGGTGGGAGAATCACTTGAGCTCAGGAGGGCAAGTTTGCAGTGAGCCAAAATCGCACCACTGGACTCCAGCCCAGGCAATAGAATGAGATCGTCTCTCAAAAATAAATAAATATAAAAAATTGGGAACTTTTTAAAACGATTATCTTTTTGGAGACAGGGTCTCTCACTGTGTCACCCAGAGGAGAAGAGTGGCACCGTCAGAGCTCACTGGAAACTTGAACTCCTGTGCTCGAGCAGTCCTCCCGCCTCTGACTCCCAAGTAGCTGGGACTGCAGGTGTATGCCACCACACTCGACCAATTTTTAAAAATTTTTTGTAGCAACAGTGTCTCACTATGATGCCCAGACTGGTCTTGAATTCCTGGCCTCAAGCAATCCTCTACCTCACCCTCCCAAAGTGCTACGATTACAAGCATGAGCCACCAGGCCTGCTGGAACACGTGTTTTAGATTTAGTTTATGATCTGAGCAAGTAGCCATTATACTTATACATCTGTACGAATCAATATCCTTTTTCATGAGAAACTATTCGTGTGCTTAATTCACTCTTGAAAAATGATAAACAATTTACATGAAACTTTCTATGTAGAACATTAGGTAAATTTAGTAGAATGGGAGTTAAAACAGACTTATATGTATAAGCTATTTATAGATAACCAAAGTGAAAAATATGAGTATTAAGTGCTCTTAATTTTTTTAATAGGTGCACACCACCTCACCCGGCCCATTTTGTTTTTTTTTTTTTTTTTTTTTTTTGAGACGGAGTTTCGCTCTTGTTACCCAGGCTGGAGTGCAATGGCGCGATCTTGGCTCACCGCAACCTCCGCCTCCCGGGTTCAGGCAATTCTCCTGCCTCAGCCTCCTGAGTAGCTGGGATTACAGGCACCCGCCACCATGCCCAGCTAATGTTTTGTATTTTTAGTAGAGACGGGGTTTCACCATGTTGACCAGGATGGTCTCGATCTCTTGACCTCGTGATCCACCCGCCTCGGCCTCCCAAAGTGCTGGGATTACAGGCTTGAGCCACCGCGCCCGGCCTATTTTGGTATTTTTAGTAGAGACGGGGTTTCGCCACATTGGCCAGGCTGGTCTTGAAATCCTGACCTCAGGTGACCCGCCCTCCTCAGCCTCCCAAAGTGCTAGGATTACAGGACTGAGCCACGTGCCTGGCCAACTAGACAATTTTTTAGGAAGATTTTTCAGGTGTTGGATGAACCCAGGAAGAAAGATGGTAACAGCAAAAGGATGGTGGGGGCGGGGGGGATGGGGAAGAGAACTACTAGATCTATGTGAAAGGAAAAATTGCCCAAAATGGATGGATGATTCCATGTAGAGAATAAAACGGAAGAACGCTGATGTTCTTAAATAAACTGTTAAAAAGATCATAGAGGAACATGATGTGAAATAAATTAACCTCCTATTGTCTTTGAACAAATGCTGAATTGTCTCTGCACAATCCAACCACTAGGGGTCAGAGTGCTGTACTTCTACTACCAACTTTTTTTTTCTTTTTCTTTGAGACAGAGTCTTGCTCTATCACCCAGGTTGGAGTGCAGTGGTCCAATCGCAGCTCACTGCAACCTCTGCCTTTCAGGTTCAAGCGATTCTCCTGCCTCAGCCTATCGAGTAGCTGGGATTACAGGCACCTGCCACCACACGCAGATATATATATATATATATTTCTATTTTTAGTAGCGACTCAGTTTCCCTTCATTGGCCAGGCCTGATCTCGAACTCCTGATCTCAGGTGATCCGCTAGGTCTCAGCCTCCCAAAGTCCTGGGATTACAAGCGTGAGCCACCGCACCGGCCCATTTTTGTGTTTTTACTAGATAGGGGGTTTCGCCACGTTGGCCATGCTGATCTCCAACTGCTGACCTCAGGTGATTGGCCCGCCTCTGCCTCCCAAAGTGCTGGAATTACAGGCTTGAGCCACATGCCTGGCCAACTAAACAGTTTTTTAGGAAGATTTTTCAGGTGTTGGATGAAGCCAAGAAGAAAGACGGTAACAGCAGTGGAAGAGAGGCGGGGAGAGAAATACTCGATCTATGTGAAAGGGAAAATTGCCCCAGATGGATGGATGCTTCAAAGTAGAGAATAAAAGGAAAGAACGCTGATGTTCTTAAATAAACTGATTAAAAGATCATGTAGGAACATGATGTGAAATAAAGTCCTATTGTCTTTGGACAAATGCTGAATTTTCTCTGCATAATTTAACCACTAGGGGTCAGATTGCTATATTTCTACTATCTTTTTTTTTTTTTCTTTGAGTTAGTATCTTGCTCTGTCACCCAGCCTAGAGTGCAGTGGTGCAATCTCAGCTCACTGCAACCTCTGCCTCCCAGGTTCAAGCAGTTCTCCCGCCTCAGCCTCCTGAGTAGCTGGGATTACAGGCGCCCGCCACCACACCCCGTAATTTTTTGTGATTGTATTTTTAGTAGGGACGCAGTTTCCCCACATTAGCCTGGCTGATCTCGAACTTCTGACTTCAGATGATCCTCCCAAAGTGCTGGGATTACAGACCTGAGCCACATGTCTGGCGAACTAAATAGTTTTTTGGAAGATTTTTCAGGTGTTGAATGAAACCAAGAAGAAAGATGGTAACAGCAGGGGAATGGCGGGGTGGGGGAGGGTAGAAAAAATACTGGATCTATATGAAAGGAAAAATCACCCCAAATGGATGGATGCTTCAGTGTAGAGAATAAAAGGGAAGAACGCTGATGTTCATAGAT